ACGCAACCGCAACTGCGGCTTCGCAACCGCAACCCCGCAACTGCGGGCTATCCTACACCGCAACATGCACTCCATCGCTAATGGGATGCACTACGCAGGCAGCAGGCGCCCAGTAGTACCGAGCTCTGTTCCGCAACTGCGGCTCCTCGGTCTTGCCGCACTCACCGCTCGTCCGCAACTGCGGCAGATCGCGCCTCTTCGTGCTTCCGCTTGCTCGCCCGACTCTGGCGTCCGTGGCCGACGAAGACGACGTTTTGGTGGATGCCCTCGCACCAGTGCGTGCTGAAGGTCTTCTCGTTGAGCTCCTTCTGAATGACCTTGCCGATTGGGGGCAGCGCTGCCAAGCCGAGCTTTCTTCTGACTCCGCTACTGCGGTCAGGGTCATCCTCCCACTTGGGCATGTACTTCGCTGGGACCCAGCGCCGAGAGATGATGGAGTCGCTTGTTCGATGCATCCAATCAGGGAGCCACTGGGGATCGTTCTTCGACGGCCTCCCTGCAGAATCCGCGTTGTAGTCCGCAATGCGCACGTCGCACGGGCCAATGGGGAGGACGTAATTCGGATGCATGACGCGTGTGCCCTCCACAAGGCCTCCGAACAGGGCGGGTCCAGCCCTGAGCACCACCCCCATCGGGCAGGTGTAGCTGGCTCCGCAACTGCGGCCAAATGCTTGGAGCTGCTCAGGCGGGATGTCAAACAGGCCGCACAAGAACCGCACATCATTTTTATGGATGGAAGCAACCGCGTCCTTGAAGAAACTTGGATGCCACGCTGTTTGTTCTGATTGCGTGATCTTCTGTTGGAGACGTTCGGTGACTGCGTGTCTGGACACGACGGCAAAACGGATCACCGCGGCAGGATTCATGTCGGAGCCCTTCAGGCGAAAGCGCAGGATCGTGACGGCGTGGGTGGCCCCAACAACATGACCCGCAACTGCGGTCTCTGCGATGATGTGCGGGCGCACGAGCACCACGCCCGTGTCTCTGAACAGGCCAACCGTCGTCCAGTAAGGCTCCGCGGTGTTGTTTTTCAAAGTGACAGCGTCTTCGACGGCAGTCCTGAGTCCAACGGGAACGTCGTAGCTGCAAGCGCCTTCGACGTTCCCCGTGCGGAACAGCTCGGGGTCCCATACGACGAAGACGACCGCCGCAGTTTGGTGCAAGATGCACCTGAAGACATCTTCCTTTGTTGCCACCTTCGTGATGACCACCACGTTGAACACCAAAGCGATGGTGGACGGAACCCGATTGCCGTCTGCTGCACGAAGGAATCCTTCGTTCCACTTGGGGCGTTCCCCAACGTAGTTTATCCCTGGAGGGGACCTGGTCCGCTGCTTCTTCCGCGGTGCTCCCGCATCTTCCCGCAACTGCGGTTCCGACGGAGGCCCCGCGCGACCCCGCGACTGCGGTTCTGACAGCGGCGAGCCTTCCGTGGGAGGCGGCCTTTTCCTCGGCCGCGAATCGGCCGAGGCGATTGTCTCGGCGGCTTTCTCCTGGGAGGCGGCCTCGTCTTCGGGTTGGGCGCCTCGTTTGGACTCGGCTGCGAGCAGCACGGCCGAGGGCGCGCTGCTCCCAGATGAGCCGCGCGCGGCACCTGGCTCGCCGGCCACCCCCGCAACTGCGGTCTCGGTGGCGGCTCCCGTCACTGCTGGTTGGTCCTGCTGCTTCGTCGGCGTCTGCGCCCGAGGCCCCCATTTTGCCTTGGGGGTCAAGTGCGCCCTGCGCAACTGCGCCTCTTCGCGCCTCCCACCAGCAGAGCTCCCACTCGCAGCGCTTATCGGCGGCGGCGGCCGATATTCCCGCGAGGAGCTAGACGACTGCGGGGAGGCCTCGCGCGGCGGTCGCTCGGGGCTTCCGCAACTGCGGTCCTCCGTCGGCTCCGCGACTGCGGCATCCGCGGCAGCCCCTTGCAGGCCGAACCTTTCCCGCAGTTGCTGCTTCAGCTCGGCGAACCGCTTGTCGACCTCGGCTTTGCGACCTGGGTCCATGGCGTGGCCGCGCGCGGCCCCCGTCCGACGGGGGAACTGCGGCCGGCTTGGGAGAGGAAGGCAACGAGGGAGACGGCGGGGATGAGGACGAGGAAGGCGAAGAGGAGGATGGAGAGGACGCGACGGAAGAGGATGGCGCGAAGAGCTCAGACGAGGGTGAAAGGAGCAAGGGGACTGCGACGAGGATGACGGGGCAGAAACGGAGGAGGAGGAATCAACAAAGTCCGCAACTGCGGCCCTCGGGGGGGACTGCGACGAGGACGACGGGAAATGACTCGGCCAACGGAGGCGGGCTACGGCCAACGGAAGGAACTGCGACGAGGAGGAAAGGCGGAGGGAGGAGACTGCGACGAGGACGACGGGGAAGGGGCGACGAGGACGACGAACAACTGCGGATCCATCTGTTTAAGTACCTGTCTCCGCAACTGCGGCCGCGCTAATTAACGTCACGAGTGCTTCAACGGAGGTGATGCGCGCCCGAAGCACCTAATTACAGCGGTCAGTCGTGGGAGCGCCGCAACTGCGGCCAAGCTGTATGAAGTCGCTAGAAGGCAGCGCCGCAACTGCGGCCGAAAGCGCGCATAGTGAGTCAAACGAGCGCGGCGTCACGCGATCGGTCCCCGCAACTGCGGTTCCATGGCTGCGCAATCCCGCAACTGCGGTGTCAAGGCTGCGCGGACCACCGCGGTTGCAGCTGCGCCCCCTTGCTCGCGTCGAACCGCCCAGGATTCGGATGGGCGTGCAGCATCTTCCAGAACGTGAACGTTCCGTGGCCATCGCTCTTGCCGAGACCTGCCCTCGGGCCCCGCACGGGATGCGAGTGCGGCTCCACCTCATACGTGTTGAACTTCGGGCTAGACCAGGATGGGTGGACGCGAATGCCCGAGCCGTCGTCGCGGATGAGGACGAAATCCCACTGGGGCAGAGGGATTCTTTGCGCCTGTCCTCTGTCCACCCCTTTCGTGTGCCTCATGTTGTCGAGACTGCTAGGGCACGGGCGGCACTCGCAGCGGACCAACCCGCGACTGCGGTCATTGTCAGGGCCGCACACGACGCGCAGCATTGTAGGTCCATCCATCTGCGCGACCATCTCCAGCCAAGACCACGGCACTTTGACAGTGTGGTCCCAGTCCCAATCCCTGTTGTCCTGCGCCTTCCCCTTTGCGCGGTACTTAAGGATCTTCGAAATTTCCTCCGCAACTGCGGTACCTCCGAAGACGGGCGTGCGGCTGCCGAAAGGGTTTTCTCGGTCTTCGTACTCGTCTCGGAACCACTTCAAGGCCGCGTTGTGCTGCTTATAATTGCCGTTCCAGTTCGCCCTGAAGTTCTCGAAGAATTCCAACTTGAAAATTGGCAGCGGCTCATTGCGCACAATTTGAAACAGCGCAACTGCGCCTTGTTCTTCGCGCCCTGGGGGAAGCAGGGGACCGCCTCCTTTGCCCGCCGCTGTTGCGGCCGCGGGCTCCGCGGCAGGAGAACCTGCCGAGGCACTCGAGCGGCCACCTTCCCATGCATTCCACCAGCCACCCTCGTCGTCCCACCAGCGGGCGCCCTCCATTCCCCAACCCTCGCATCCGTTGCCGCCCCATCCGCCGCCCTCCCATCCGCGACTGCGGTCACTTCCGTCGCCGCCATCCTGCGCTTTTCCTCTCCATCCGCCAAGAGAATCTCCGCCGCCCCAGCCGCCACTGCGGTCACCTCCGCCGCCGTATCCGCCACTGCGGCCGCCCCAACCCCCACTTGTTCCCCAACCGCCGCCGCTGCTCTTTGAAGAATCCGCAACTGCGGCCCGTGTTTCCTCTTCCGCTTTGTCATCCCACCCTGCACGCATCTCTGCCCCGACTGCAGGCCGCGGAGGCGGGCGCGAGCCCGCCCAACCGCCGTGAAACCTACCGTCGGCGCGGGCTTGAGCCGAACGTGCATGGAGGAGGAGGATGAGGAGGAGGAGGGTGAATGTGAGGAGGATGATGCGTTCCTGGGAGGTGTGCCTTCGCGTGCAACACAAGAGCCCTGAGAATTCCTGAGGCCCCTCCAACAGCCAAGGACGCGGATGACAAGAAAGTCGAGAAGATTGGGAACCGATTGAGGATTAAGAGGCGTGCGACGAAAGGGATGATGATGACGAAGAGGAAGATCAGTGAAGGGGAGGAGCGGACAGGAATTATGGAGGAGTGATAGCAGAGGAGGAAGAGGGGGAAGGGGGAGGAGGAGGAGGAGGAGGAGGAGGGAGAGGAAAAGGGGGAGGAGGAGGAGGAGGAAGAAGGGGAGGAGGAGGAGGAGGAGGAGGAGGAGGAGGAGGAGGAAGGAGGAGGAGGAGGAGGAGGAGGAGGAAGAGGAGGAGGACGACGACGACGAGGAGGAGGAGGAGGAGGAGAGGGAGAAGGAGAACGGGGACAGGAGGACAAGGACGGAGAAATATAACAAATGAGGGGGAGGAGGCGGAGGAGGAGGAGGACGAGGAGGAGAAGCAGGAAGAGGAGGAGGAGAGGGGGGAGGAAGAGTGCGCGTGAGACTGGGAGAACGAGGTAATTAATTAGAGAGGGAACGGGGGAGGAGGGAGGACAAGGAAGAGCATACAGCGACGAGAAGAGGAGAAGGAACAGACGAAGGCTCCTGCTGATCGCATTTCCGCATCGTTCAAAGCAGTGCCGGGGCACTGCTTTGAACGACTGGTGATGTTCAAAGCAGTTCCCCGGCACTGTGTTCCATCGTCGCCGTTATAAGGGCTATCGGATTAGCTTGTCCTTCTCCCTCTCCCCTCCCCCTCCCCCTCCACCTCCCCCTCCTCCTCCTCCTCCTCCTCCCCTCCCTCTCCTCCTCCTCCTCCTCATCCTCCTCCTCCTCCTCCTCCTGCCTCCTCCTCCTCCTCCTCCTCCTCCTCCTCCTCCTCCTCCTCCTCCTCCTGCCTCCTCCTCGAACCTACCTCCGCTTCCTGCTGGTCGGGATATCCCTGCTGGGCCACCCCGGGCCCCCCGGCAGAAGCCCCGGCCGGCTGCCGTCCGTGGCCCGCGCGTGGTTCCCGTGCGGCGACTCGTACAGCTGCACCGCGTGGGGGTACAGCTCCGACGCGAGGCGGCGCCGCTCGGGAGCCTCGGAGCGCACACGCCCTTACTGCGATCCTGGCGCCTCCATTCTTTTTCGAGCCGGGCGTTTTTTCGCTTCTTCTTCTCGGGCCCCGGGACCCTCACGGATCGATTCGGCTCGAACAATGGCGCAGAAGGATGGGGTCCGGGGCTCCGGGCGCGACTTTTCACGATGCTGCAATTTGTTGTCGCCACGTCGGCTCTCAGGGCCCCTTACTGCTGATGCCCGTCCTCGTCGTCTGCCTCGTCCTGCGCCGCGGCGTGCCAGCCTTCGTGCCGACTCCCCCCTCCTGACGCTCGCGCTGCCCCCCCAGGCTAAAAAACACCGCCGAGTGTTCGGTCCTCCTCTTCCTCTCTGCTGTCCTCACCATGAAAGTCCTCACTCTTGCTCACGTTCCTCTTCTTCTTCTTCGTATACGAATCCCTCTGTACTCTCCTGCCCGCACCATTTGCACCGACATCGACAGAACGTCGTCCGCGTACCTCGCCTGATCTCCGACTCTGGGATCTCTCCGCATCATGGGCCCCAAGACCACTTCCCCAGGGCCGGCTTCCCATCTCGAGTCTTTGCTGGCTGTCCCGGTGCCCGGCGAGGACTCCCACAGGACGGAAAAAAGCTGCCAAAAAACAAAACGTCCCCATGTTCACGCCACTTGGAGGAGTTACAATCCACCTGTATGGTAGGGACGCACGAAGAGGATGCAGGGGCCTTGGAGGGCCACGTCGACACGTTGCGGGCAGGGCGTGGCCAGCGAAAGCAGCCAGGGATGGACCGAAGGGGACGGCTGCAAGGGTAATTAACCGATGGGGGGAGGAGGAAGAGGAGGAGGAGGAGGAGGAGGAGAAGGAGGAGGGGAAGGATGCAAGGGTAACCTTGGAAACTTGCTCATCCTCACTGTGCAGGTTGACTGCACGGGCCTCCGACAGCCCTCTGCACTCCCTCCCACGCCCCTCCCCCTCTCCGTGGGGGAATGCCCGGGGGCGGCTCCCGCAGAGGCCTCCCAGGTGGGGTCCGAGCAGGTGGGGTCGAAGGACATCGCGCTGCATCGGCGATGCATCGGCGATGTACCAGCGATGCATCGGCGACGTCGGCAATGCATTTGCGACGTCGAGATGGAGAAGATAGGGTTCCACATCGAGCCGTATCGTCGATGCATCGGCGCTGCGGCACCATCGCCCGACCCCGTCTACGGCCGGACCTAGGGCAGAAGAGAAGAGCATCCTTCAAGAATATGAGACCCTCAGCCGGCCAACTGAAGAGCATGATAGGGCACCCTCTTCCAGGATACACAAGAATATCCAACAAACATGAAGAACATTCGAGCACTCTCCCCGAGCCGACATCGATCTGATACCTCGGTCCGACCGTACTCTGACCCCATCTGGAAGGCCTGAAATCCTCAAGGGAGACCTCCGCGCGAAGGCACCCACTTTCCCCTCATCCCAAAACCGCGGCGATGCGGCGGCGCACGGGCCGGGCTGCAGCGGGCCACGCGGACGGACGCAGAAACACGCACAGCTTGCCCGAATCAGACCGACGCGGGATCAATCAAACATGAGCAGCGGCGAGTGTACAGCACAGGGCTGAGCATTCTAGCAATGTCGTGATCGAGTCGAAGGGAAGCACATTCCCTCTGATTCCCTCCCCGTCGTGGGGGGGTCCCAGGGTTGGGTCCCTGGGTCCCAGGTCTGGGTCCCGGGGGGATGGGGTGTAGCGGGGGGGAGGGTCAGATACGTATTCCCCCTGGGGGTCCCGAGGCCTCAGGAAGTACCCAGACAGGCGACGAGTGCCCCTAGAGGCCCCCGAGACGGTCCAAGAGGGCACCAAGTCACGCCCTCCAGACTGCCAAAACGCTCGCACGCCCTCCAGACTGCCAAAGAGGCCTCAAATGCGCCCCACGAAGCCTCCAAGAGCACTCCCGAGAGGCTCCCGAGGGGCAAAATGAATTGATGTGTCGTGGGCTTTTGTTAATGATTTGGGAATTCTCGCATTTCCCTCTTCCTGCCGCTCCAAGACGACCCAAGAGGCCCCCAAGATCGCCCCAAGACGACCAAAGAGGCCTCCAAGAGGGCTCCAAAACAGCCCAATAGAACCCAAGACAGTCCCAAAACGCTTGCAAGGCGGACCAAGAGGCCGCGAAGACAGCTCCAAGAGCGTGCTCAGACGGATGACCCAAACGGACATTTCGAGCTCTCGGCCCCGAGAGGCTCCCAGGAGGCCCCAAGAGGTTCCCAAGAGGCCCCAGGAGGCCCACAAGAGTCAAGAGGTCCCCAGGAAACCCAAGAGCCCCCAAGAGGCTCCGAAGAGGCCCCGAGAGGCTCCCAAGAGGCTCCGAGAGCCTTCCGAAGAGACCCCGAGAAGTATCCCTGAGGACTCTGACCAACGTCAGCGTCGTTGTCGTCGTCGCCGCCGTCGTCGTCGTCTCCCTTCAGGGTTGGCGGCACCGGCCGCAAGGCCTTCGCAATATGAGCAGCGGCGAATGTACAGCACAGAGCGGAGCATTGGGAAGCGAACGACCAAAAAGAGGAAACGGAGCGCAAGAAATGGATCCCGCCACACACACACACACACACACACCACACACACACACACACAAACATATACATACACACAAACACACAGACACGCACGCACGCACACACGCACGCACGCACGCACGCACGCACGCACGCACGCACGCACCCACACAAGAGCAAACGCGACAGTAGCCCGATCTCGCCGCAAGGCTCGACGCGTATTGCGGAGCTGCTACTAGCGCGACCACTAGAGTTCGACAGGAACGGCAGAGGAATCGGGGCGACGTAACTCTCGGGTTCGGGGGACTCGGATTGGCCTGACGGGGCTATCATGAAAATGACGAGACCCAGTCTGAAGTTTGACGCGAGCTCCCGCTGCAGACATCCCTCGAAAACTGGACCGTCAAAATCCAGGGCGCGCTCGTAAAAAAACGTCGGCAAACCCGAGTTCCGGCTTACTCGAGTCTTACCATTCCCCGGAGGAAGGAGGAGAGATAGAGGTAAGAGGAGGGACGAGAGTAGAGGCAATGGAGAAGAAGAGGAAGGGATGAGAAATGAAGACGGAGGGGTGAGGGGAGCTGAGGGAGGGAGGGGAAATAATAGATGCGATGAAGAAGGGAGGATATAGAAGTGAGGAGAGAGGACGGAGAAAGGGGAAGGGACGAATGAAAAGATGTGCACTTAATATCAAGGGGGAGGAGGTGAAGTCGAAGAAATGAGGAGGAGGAGGAGGAGAGGGAGAGAAGGAGGATGGGGGGTAAAGACGAAGAACAGAAAGGTGACGAGGAAGAGGACGACGATGGGAAGAAGATAATGAGGAAGAGGACATGTATCTATGTATAGACAGAGAAAGAAAGAAAGAAAAGAAAAATAAAGAACGAATGAGACAAACGGAGGGAGTATTGTGAAAGACCGAGGAGGCAGTAGAATGAGGAAGATGAAGGGGAAGAGAGACAAGGGATAACGATACAGAGGAGGATGCATCGTTGTGCCTGCAGTCATTTTCGATACCCCCTCCACCAATGGCGTGACTGAAAAACTCGAGAGCTCGAGCAAACCCGAAGCGCAATATACATCTGCGAGAGAGTGTGAGACAACAACTATGGCGAGTGTAGAGGCTGAGGAGGAGGATGTATAGGAGAGAGGGGCGGACGGTGCAGGTGAGCGATGTATAGGAGACAGTTTGGAAGGTGCAGGAAAAGCGATAAGACCGGGAAAGATGAGGACACGGACGATGAAGAGACGCTGAAGGTGAGGCCATCTTCTTCTCAAACCCGTTCTGCTGCTCCCTCCTTTGTCTCCTGTCCCTCCGTCTCCTCCTCCAGCTCCTCCTAGTCCCGCTTCCTTTGCCCGCCTGCTCGTACCTTCTGTTACTCCTCCTCGCCTTCTCTCGCCCTCCTCCACCACCACCACCACCAGGGATCGACCTAAACAATGTTGTTCGTATTCATGTTGGTTCGTTTTCCCTCGTTGTGCCTTCAATCCGCCATTTCTGCAAGACAAAATCGAGACCAAAACGGCCCGCGAAATCGCCGACGCACCGTTTAGGTCGATCCCTGACCACCACCGCCTCCCTCCTTTTCCTCAAGCTCCCCGCCCCTCATCCCCTGGCCCATCGGAGGAGGACGAGGACGAGGACGGCGACGACCGAAGTGCAGGGAGGACGAAGACGAGGGAGGAAGAGGAAGGAGGACGAAGACGAGGAAGAGAAGGGAGGACGAAGGAGAGGAAGGAGGACCGAGGTGAAGGGGAGCGGGAGAAGAGAAGGGAGGGCGAGGACGAGGAGCAGGAGGGACGAGAGGGGAAAGGCGTGGGCAGGGCAACGGGCCCAGGGGGGGGGGCACGACGACGAGGACGAGAGGGGGAGCGCGGAGCGAGGAGCGAGGAGGGCGACGACACGACGACGAGGACGGAGAGAGAGAGCAAGGGGCGAGGAGCGAGGAGGACGACGACACGACGACGAGGACGGAGGGGGAGCGGGGAGCGAGGAGCGAGGAGGAAGGACGACGGCGTGGAGAGCCAACGGCGGCGGCGACGACTGGACGAGGCCGAGGGCGACCACCGCAGTTGGCCGGCCTGGGCCACCTCGAGCGCCCGCTGCAGCACCAAGCAGCCGCCCCGCGACAGCGCGAGACCTTTTGGCGGCGGCATCTCGTGCTGCTGCTGCTGGTCGTCGTCGTGGTCATCGTCGTCCTGCTCTGCCTGCTCGGATCGCCAGGAGAAAACTGTGACCATTTGGGAGGGGACATAAGATAGGAGGGCCGAAAAAGTGAAGGATAAGATGGGGCGCAACACAACATGAGGAGGGCCAAAGAAATAGGTAACCTGAGCACCGCCCATCCCGCACACGTTTCACATCACACACCACGTCTGGTCAACAAAAAAATACACCAAACCCTTTGGGAGGCGGCCCAAATCAGGAGGGCCAAACACTTAGGAATAGGGCCCCCCTTCTGCAGACGAATCAGGCCAAACTGCCCAAACTTATTCCTAATGCAAAGACGGAAACCCGAGGGAGGCCACGTCTTCACTACAGCATTGGGGCTTGTTTGTTATTCTTGATGATGTTCATCCTCTACCATCTCAGCGTTGCATGGCATTGCTTGGCGTTGTTCGGCGTTGACCTGCACTGCCGAGGAGCCCGAAGAACAAGACAAAAAAAACCTGGGCAACCCCAGCAAGAAACAGGACCGGGGAACCCAGGGAGCCCGAAGAACAACACCACGGAACTTGAGGAACTCATGCAAGGAACAAGGCCAGTGAACCCCGGGAACCCGAGAAACAAGACCAAGGAACCCGAGGAACCTAAGCAAGGAATCCGCCGACCCCCGCTTGCCGGGGGTGACAAAACGTGTGGGACACTTGGCTGTCCCCCTCGCCCTTTCCCCCTCCCCTCCCCCAGGGTCCAAAATCCGAGCTTCCAAATCTTGTGAGGCATAATATGTAAGGAAGCACCCCGCGGGAGCCGTTGTTGTTGTAGCCTGGGGGCCAGGGGCCCAGTTTGAGCAGGAAGATTTCCCTGACACAAAGAAACACAAAGTACGAGACCCGATTGGGGGCACTTCAATTGAAAATCAGCCGGGCGAAGGACCCAACCATATGCAATTGTGAAAACCGCAATTGCGAATAACATCTTCGCTCGCGCTCCCTACGGGGCCACGAACCGTGCGAGGGGGCATGCCGAAATGCGTGGCGAGGTCCACAATACGAGCGTAGACGGTCGGTCTGAGTGCGAGAGACTGAGAACAGGTGAGCCTGAGCGCGGGTGAGTCTGACTGTGAATGAGCCTGCGTGCGAATCAATCCCACGTCAACACGTTCCTCACGAGGATCGCGCCCACTTCCTTCCGTTTCTTGTTTTGCCTCTTTGCCCGCGCACCCCGATGTCCATGGCTGCGGGCGCGGCGCCGCACGGAGTTCCCGCGACGCACGCTGGTCGCCCCGAAGGGGTGCCGGCGACGCGCGCGGGTCGTCCGCTGCGCGGAGCAGAGAGAGTTGGCTGGCTGACTGATACCGGGCAAGGCTGTGGCCACTGGGCAGAGCGACGACGGAGGCGAGCGAGGCTCTGGGCAGAGCGCAGCGCGGAATTCCCGCGACGCGCGCTGGTCGCCCCGAGAGGTCCCAGCGACGCGCGCTGGTCGCCCGCGGCGCGAGGCCAAACAGCCAGACCGTCGAGGGACGGCGAGGCTCGGGCGAGCCGCTCCTCAGGTCAAGCCTCGCGGGTAAACTCGGTGAAGCCCAACTCCCTGGCGGGGCCGCCATGCCAGCTGCGCCACTGGGACCATAGGTGGAGCTCCCTATGGGGCAACGAAACGTGTGAGGGGTGTGCCAAAATGGGGCGGGGCCGCCATGCGAGCTGCGCCACTGGGGCCATATCCCTATAAAGCTACGAAACGTGTGAAAAATGTGCTAGAATGGGGCGAGGCCGCCATGCGAGCTGCGCCACTGGAACCATAGGTGGAGCTCCCTTGGGGCCACGAAACTGGTGAGGGGTGTACCAACATGGGGCGAGGCCGCCATGCGAGCTGCGCCACTGGGACCTTAGGTGGAGCTCCCTATGAGGCCACGAAACGTGTGAGGGGTGTGCCAAAATGGGGCGGGGCCGCCATGCGAGTTCCGCCACTGGGACCGTAGGTGGAGCTCCCGATGGGGCCACGAAACGTGTGAGGAGAATGCCAACATGGGGCGAGGCCGCCATGCGAGTTCCGCCACTGGGACCTCAGGTGGAGCTCCCTATGGGGCCATGCGAGTTGCGCCATTGCGACCTTAGGTGGAGCTCCCCATGGGGCCACGAAACGTTTGAGAGGTGTACCAAAATGGTGCGAGGCCGCCATGCGAGTTCCGCCACTGGGACCTTAGGTGGAGCCCCCTATTGGGCCACGAAACGTTTGAGAGGTGTGCCAAAATGGTGCGAGGCCGCCATGCGAGTTCCGCCACTGGGACCTTTGGTGGAGTTCCCTAGGGAGCCACGAAACGTGTGAGGGGAGGAGGAGGACGAGGAGGAGGAGGAGGAGGAGGAGCAGGAGCAGGAGGAAGGAGGAAGGAGGAACGCGGAACGCTGTCTCTTCAAAACGAGGACCCAACACAACAGAATGGTTGGGGAAAACACTGTGTGCACCAGTGGGGTGGGATCAACAGAGTGTGAAGAGTGAGAGTCAAACAACAGCAGAAACAACACCAACAACAACAACAACAACAACAACAAGAAGAAGAACAACAACAACAAGAACAACAACCACAACCACAACAACCACAACAACCACAACAACGACAACAACAACAACAACAACAACAATCACTTTACCCGAACGCTCAGTGTTCTCACCAGTGCCAGGGTTTTCATGCGACGCCAGCCAATACCCCCACTTTGTGGGGGGGCAATGCAAGCTCTACCAAATATCCACACGACTCTTCGCCACCACCCACACCCAGCTTCCCGCCCTATGACGTTCGGACACTTCACTTCGTGGCCTGCGGACGACCGTGGCTACTACACTGGCGTGGAGTACACACCCACAGAAGTTGTTAAGCCTACGTTCGTACACCCACAGAAGTTGTTAAGCCTTGTTAACCCACAGAAGTTGTTAAGCCTTCCACAGAACATCTGTTGCATATGATGCATATGGTACATGATACACATGATACACATGATACGTACTCACAAGATAGTTGATCACATCTTTAGGGCAATGGCGAAGAAAAAACGAATGTGTCCCGCATGGTATTATTTGACAGGGATGATGGCCCTGGCAGGTGCGCAACCGTTGTCGCAGAAGTTCGAAAAAGTTGCTCGCAAAAGCCCGTTTGACAGAAATGTTTAAAAAGTGTTGGGTTTTTCCTACGAATCCGCAAGAGCGCGCGGGATGAGATTTTGACATTTTTTTGTTGAAAAACCATTGGTTTTTTGATGTTTTTATGTTAAAATCGTTCCGAACACTAAGCTTTTGGAAGGATTTCGTCTTGCGCGCGCGAATGTCCACTTTACCTTATTTTTTGCAAAGGATTCTTGAAATTTGATTATATTAGAACAAGAAATGTCATTTTATAGTGTTTTTTGCAAGGGAAAGCGGGGGGGAACAAAACAACCGGATCTTGATCACATCGAATTACCTGAGGCTTCCTCACGAAAATGATGAAAATGTAGCTGCGGCCTAGGCGGCGCAGGGGGGCCGTGCACCAGGGGCCCCAACAATAATTATTCTTTAGAATTAATAATGTTCAACAACAACAACAACAACAACAACAACAACAACAACAACAACAACAACAACAACGCTACCAACAACAACAACAACAACAACAACAACAACAACAACAAAACATTCAAACGGTTGCGTGGATGGCAGGCCAGTCGTTTCTAACACGCACCTCCCCCCCCGGCGTCGCGCGCACCGCAATAGAAGTTCCAGCAAGGACGGAAGGCCGATGGTCTACAAATGCGGCTCTCGCATTAGCGCCGCGCACATTCGATATGAAAATCATAAACATGTACAGGGGTGGAGGTCAGTAGGTGTTCGAAATGTGCCTCTCACCTAAGCGCCGCGCGCACTCGTGCTCCAATTACTCACTTCGTGGAGCTCCCCATATGTGCATCTCATGTTTTATATTATGCCGTAGTGAGCGTCTGTTCATGAGCGTTTGACTATAATAGCCCGTCCACGTTGGCGACAAGCCCGACGAAGACGAGTGCATCCTGTTGCGAGTGAGTGAGTATGAGCCAGAGTGAGCTGAGTATGATTAGCTCGCCACGCCCACGGGTGCAGGTAGCTCGTGCCGCATGCCCGGTGATGGTTTGCCCTGCCAGGCGGTCGGCGCGCTCGGGGACGTTGCCCTCGTGGCACGCCGCCTGGGGTTCAGCGGCTGGCCACACCATGGTCGGACTATGTCAATGTCTGTTTCCTTCTTGGTGGTGGACCTGCTGGCCGTCCACCTTCTGAGCCGCGCAGATTATTATGGTACTCGTTGGTGTGCGCAAGTTGCCCTTCAACTGCTTGGGCGTCAGGAAGGTTTCCCCAGCATCTGGGACACGTGGTGGCATGTATCGCTATGATTCCTGAATGTTGGTTTGTGCACGTTCTGGTCATACACGGGTATGACGTTCCGTTCTGCATGTCTAGCTGGTCATGCGGTCTTGTCCATGTAGCCTCAACATACAATCAATAATCGTGGGTATATTGACTGGGGGTGCCCGACATGCAGTGATCAACAAGTTGGAGATGGTTTGGCTCGCTTCTGTGGTTTGGGCGTGTTCGTTCTGCAATCCTGCACAGCCTCGTACTTGTTCGTGTCTGGTAGGGTGAGAGAACATTGATCAACATTGGAGGGACTCATGACGGTATCCGTGTGTTTCGTCAGCTTCTCCAGGCTCGGTCAGCGTTTTTGGTCATGTCGCCATCCTTTGTGCGCGTGCTGCTCATGGAGGTCTGGAGGTGGTCTGCAGAATTCGTGGAGTTGTTCCTCCTGTGCGGCCGCTTCGTCTTCCTTGTCGTCCTGTGCATTTTCAAAGTCAGGGGGGCGTCGCATGCTCGATATACACATTGCGTCGCAATCGTTCCGGATCCGAATCCACCGATGCTGCTGTTCAGTCCTCTTCCTCCTCCTCCTCTTCCTCGTGTTCCCCTCCTCACCTTCATACATCTCACTACAATCAACCCGTAGAATATGGACGTACGATAAGGATGCAGGGGCCTTGGAAGGCCATGCTGGCCCTTTACGAGCGGGGCGCGGCCAGCGAAAGCGGCAAATGATGGGACAAAGGGGAAAGATGCAACGGCAACCCTGGCTGTGTGGGTTGACTGAATATTAATCCTTCCCTTCGGTCTTGGTCCTGGGAGGCTGTTTGGCAAGAAGGCGTATGTAATCAGCCGACTCGAGTTGCCACATCCTCTCGACAGAGGAGCAGGAAAGGTGTGCAGCCTGGACGGGCACCGCGAGGCAGCGCGCCCCCTGCGAAACAGAAAGGCGGTACTGCTGATTCTCTGATTGGGCTGCAGTCGGGCTCCGGAAGAGAAAGGAGAGAAACATAGCCAAAAACATCAACAACAACAACAAAGAATATCAGACCTGGCCAAAGCATCGCCCTCGGACTATCTGTTGCACTCTTCTCGGGTGCTCCTCCTGCGGAGGGACCTGCCCGACTCGGCACCTGCGCGCAGAGGACCCGTCGGGCCTGGCAGGGCTGGCCTGGCCTGGCCTGGCCTGACGCGCTCACATACGCGCCGGAGGCGCGGTCCCTCTGGGAACGGAGCCGTGGCGCCATGGCGCCGAGAATCTGGAATGAAATACTGGAAAACTCTAGCAACGCAGCAAGAACGTGGGACGAGAAGGACGGGGGAGAAGCACCGCGATGGGAAGCAGACAGAGAGCAGGCCTGGCCTGGCCCGGCCTGGCCTGGCCTGGCCTGCGCCGGGCCCCTTGGCTCCTCGGCTCCCCCCGCGGGGGTCCTCTCGGCAGTCCTGCCGCCTCCCGGGCGGCCCTCCTCCCGGGGCTCCTCGGCGGCAGCAGCTGCTCGACTCCCGGGTTCCTCGGCTCCCGGGCCTGGCCTCCTCGGCGGCCGGGCCCTGAGGCCTCGGTTCCCGGACGCCTCGGTCCCCTGCTGGCTCCTCGGGTGCTCGGTGCCTTCGTCGTGGCTCCCTGTTGCCTCGCTGGCCAGGCATATAGTGCCACGCAGTGCCACGCCAGGCCAGGCAGTGCCCCGCGATGCAGCGCAAGGCGACGCCATGCCTCGCAATGCCAAGCGATATGCCAAGCGATATGCCAAGCCATAAGCCAGCCAAGCACTACGCCTAGCAATATGTCAAGCAATGCCACGCAATTCCACGCAATGCGCCCATGCAACAAGAAACTTACCCCTGGTTGGGGTTGCGCCGGGTTCTTTCTGCTGCCGGAGGGACAAAGGCGACACGGCGGCCTCGCGATGGACGCGCTTCTGCCAGGAGCTTGTGCTCGGGGAAGCTCTGCCCGAGCCCACTATTGCTGGACCCGTCTCCTGCCTCAAAAAGAGGGAGAGACCTGCCACCTCCCCCGAATCAGCTCTACTCCCTGCTGCCCCTCCCGCTCTGATGGGGGAAGGGAGGGACCGCCGTCGTAGGAGAACCAGACACAGACGACGACGACGACGACGACGACGACGACGACAGCGACGACGACAGCGACGACGACGGCAACCGCAACGAAGACACGACGAACGACAACGAACGCTGCCGACGACGCCGCATGTCAACCGACGACGACGGCGACGGCAGCGGCGGACCCAGACGCAGATCCCGTTCCAAACAGGAGCGACGGCGGGCTGCTGGAGGCCGAAACCTGCACAAACCTCCAGCGGTCCTTCCTCTCCGGGGGGACGAGAGGAACCGGCACTGCCACTCCACAGCTCGGTGGCAACTCACGGGAGCCACCAGCACCAACCTGCTGGGTCTTGCGGATCGGCGCACGTCGACGCTACATCGACGCTGATCGACGCCACATCGACGCCAGTCGACGCAAGCCGACGCCAAATCGGCGCTACCTCGTCGACTTCCAGGCGCTGACCGACGCTGGTCGACCAGGCTCCCACGATGTGCTACCGAAGACCTCGGACAGGAATCGGGCCACGAGAAGCCTCCTGCAAAAAGAAAACAGCCCCGAGACTCCAGGACGTCCATCGAACTTGGGCGTGGGAGCGCCTCGCCTTCCACAGCAAAACCATCGAAACCCAAGGAAGCCCAGGGCGCCCTGGCGGCGAGCAGGGTGTGCCTCTGGGCACGCGTCGCCACTGCACGGGGGCGACGGGGCCCTCCCGGCCAGGGCGAGCCCGGGCCCCGAGCGCGTGGGGGGGCCCGGAGCCCAGAACCCCTCCTCCCCCTCCTCCTCCTCCTCCTCCTCCTCCTCCTCCTCCTCCTCCCTCCTTCCTTCATCCTCCTCCTCCCCTCCTGTGCTCCTCTCCTCCTCCTACCTCCTCCTCCTGCTCCTCCCAGCCTCCTCCTCCCATCCTCCTCCCTCTCATCCTCCTCTGTGCCTCCTCCTCCTCCTCCTCCTCCTCCTCCTCCTCCTCCTCCTCCTCCTCCTCCTCCAGAAAGAGAGAGGAGGAGGTCTGGGCCGCCCGCCGTCGCCCCGCCCCGGGAGGCGGCGGCCGCGACCGCGGGCTTCCGAGAGGAGCCACAGCAGGAGCGAGCGCTGGCGCTCCTGGTCGGCGGCGTCGAGCTCCGCCTCCAGCAGCTTCCGCCGCCCCTGGTCCTCTCTTGAGGGCAGAAGATGCCGTGCGCTCACAGGCCCCGAGGCAGGCCGATACACCAAGCCAGCCATTCATATCAGGAATGTGTCAAACCAAGCTTTGATATAATTTGGTGTTTCGGCTCTGTGCAGTAGTTCTGCACAGCGGCGCAATCGCAAGAAGCTCTTCGAAGCCCTTGCCAGGAAAAGGATTCAAGCAGGACAGGGGGGTCGGCGGCGTCGAGCTCCGCCTCCAGCAGCTTCCGCCGCCCCGGGTCCTCTCTCAAGCTACCAGCCTCGAACGTTATCCCTTAGGGGGCAAACAAACCTACCTCGCTTTTGACCACCCTCGCTTCCAAGAGATACCAGACGATGCCAAACTACGGCCTGTACTGGTCAGGCCGCTTGACGAGGAGGCGCGTGGTATGACTTGGTTTTGCCTGGAAGCAAAAGCGGGGCAGGTAATTCACGCTCTGATCCCTATCCCTCAGATTGACACGCCAAAAGGCGATGACAATCTCAGGGATTCGCCCCAAAAATAAGGGAGTCCCTACGATTGGCATCGTGATGAGGAGGTGCCCAGCATAGGGATAGGGATATGTTCCAGGCTGGTAATCAAGGGCAGAAGATGGTCCATCCCCATCCTAACCACTCCACCCCGACACGGGAGGCCGTTCGGCGAGCGCACCCACGGGAGAAATCGGACGGGGCAGGACGCTGCAGTAGACGACCATGCAGGGCCGTGTCGCAAACGCCGAGTATCGGGTCCGGGGGGTTCTGCCTCCCTTGACTCTTGCGCGGACAGCATCAGTCAGCCACGAATCGGTAGATCGGATCGAGCCCGAAATGTGCAGCGGATCGGGCTGCATCAGCACGGAATCTAGATCGAATCGGATCGGCTGCGCCAAGATGCACAGAAAGAGGCGGCATGCAGGCGTCGGGCCGCATCCGGGATCTTCTGACCCGGGTCAATCCAGACCCCGGTCAGCAGGAAACCAAAAACTGCAATGCAGGAAAAAAAAAACTGCAACGCAGATCTTCGCAAACCCGGGTCAGCCAATAGGCGCGGCCGCCTCGCGGCCACGAGCGGCTCGCTAACCCGGGTCAGCCAGAGGGGGTCTTCGCAGGATCCTGCAGGATCTGGCACCCTGGCCGACCCCCGTTTGCATTGACCCTCGTCTCGAGGCTCCCGACCGCATCGGATTGTCAGAAGATCGGCATCGAACCGAAGCGTGCTGGACCGAACCTTGGCGGCGCGTAAACGGGGGTAGAGGGAGAGGGAAAGCATCTTAGAAGGAGGCTGCTCCTCAGACCGCACTGACACTACGTCTACAGACAAGGACCGCATCTTCTAAACAACAGGGATGTTCTAAGGAGCGATCTCCCCCCTCCCCATACCCCCCTCTTCGCGTGGCTGACATCGGAATCGAATCGGATCGGCTGCGCACAGATGCACCACGGCGCCATGCAAGCAACGGGCCGCATCGGCTCGCCCGATCATCGGAATCGAATCGGATCGGCCCTCCCCCTCCTCCGAGATGAGGCAGAGAGGGGGCGAGAGCACGACAAAGAGGAGGAGGAGCAGGAGGAGGGAGGGAGGGAGGACGCAGAACGCAGCATAGAACGGCGAAGCATCCGAGAACGCGACGACAACTGTATAATCGAAACCAATTGCCCTAGCCAGCTCAACCTGCCAACCCGTCCAACCAGCCAGCCAGCCCACCCAGCCACCCCGCCACCTAGCCAACCCGTCAGCCAACCAGCCCAGCCGCCCACCCCGTCATCCCGCCAACCAGCCGATCCCCTCCGCCTGCTCTCCGTGCCCAACCAGCCACCCTGCCAACCGCTCTCCCCCGCCGCCTGCCCTCCGTCACCGCCGAGAGGGGGGGGGAAGTGTTTCTTACCAGCGATAACCAGAAAACTAGCCCTCCCGGGGACCGGCGGGACGGCGGGGAGGGGGCAAATCGCACCGTACTATGCAGGAGCGGGAATGGCGGGGGGGGGTGCCCGGCACGGTTTTGGGCCTCAAGTGTGTAACTGTCGTCATTTTTCAACGTCCACCGCGCCCTCATTCTCAATGGGAAGGCTCCCATCCTTGAAACTGTCGCCAATTTTGAGGCCCCGCGCGTGGCTTCTTAGAGAGCCGCCAAGAGGCCCCAGGAGGTCTCAGGAGGCATCAGGAAGCTCCAGGAGGCTTCAGGACGTCCCCGGAGGCCGTGGGAATCCTACGGAGGCTCCAGGACGCTCCAGGAGGTCCCAGGATGCCCCGCGAGGTCCCGCAAGGCCCCAGGAGGTCCCATCACGCTCCGGGCGTATCCTGAACGACCCAAAAGTTCCAGAATGCTGCGGACAGGCGGACCCGCCCCGGAGGAGCTGAGGAAAACCCTATACCCCTTGAAAGGAGAAAAAGCCCTGGAGGTTTCAAGAGGGGAGGCGACCCCAACCGCCCAGAGTTGTTATCCCCAATGCGAACCCCCCCCCTCCCCCGTATTACCTAGAGGCTCCATGAGGTCCCATGGTCCATCACGCCCGAGGTTGG